GCACAAACTGTCCAATTCCCTCAGTACCGACAACAGAGAAGGAGAAGAAGCAAAGCAATACGGAGGAAACTCAGAATACGGCAGTAACGGAGAAGTCAAATACTTCACAGAACAAGGAAGAAAAAACGGACGGAAAGATGGGGACAACATCAGAAACAACGGGAAAAAAATTGGAGGAAAATAAACCAGCAGATAAAAGGAAACCAGAGAAGAAAAGGGAGAAAAGAAACGGCGAAGGCGATAGTGACTCACAAGTATCGAACAATTCAAGGTCGTCGGGCAAAAGCAAGCGGCAGACACAATTCTTTGGAAGCCCACTAAAACATTCGGTCAAAAACATAGAAGAAAAACAGGGGCTACAAACAATTCCAATTTCACCAGGGGATATTCCGTCATCATCAGGAAATACACCGTCACCATCACCGAGGAGGAAGCTAAGAAGACCAACATTCACGACTAGCAAGTTGGAACTAGCACAAGGAAACAAAACTTAATGAACAAAAACTTTTAAACTTATTGACTGAACTTGTTTATTGTGAAGGTGAATTTGTGAAAGAATTTCAAACGTTGTTGAAATTTTCTAGAGGGGGAAATGTGGTGTTAGTGAGTAGACCACCTAAGATAGAGGACGTTATACCATATTATTATAAACGTTAGAGATCATTTGAATAACACTAATTAAAGACCTGTCAATCATGTCGATTGTTCTAACAGCTTGATGGTGCCAAAAACTAAGACTCACTCTTCGTTAGCTATTGTAAGATTATAGTTATCATCTATTCAGTGATCCGTATCTACTTACTAAACTTTACTATTAATTCAACTATATTATTAGTCTAGTTTTCAGATAAGTTCTAGGGATTATCACACTCTGAAAACTGTTATGGAGCAACCTGTTTCACACATTTTGTTTGAAAAACTTGATTTAAAGACGAATTTTGTTGCTCGAGGGATCATGTTTTATTAATTACTAGATCTAAATAAATGCTTTGCTGTTTTCAATTTTTTTTTTAAAATCGACTAAAAATCGGCGATTATATTTTCACAAATTTTTCAGCAAGAAAAGCATTTTATTTGATATAGGTTTTGTAATACGTTGACTAAGCATCAAAAGTGTTTTGAAGAAAACTTCAAGCAAGTGGAATTTTGTTGAAGATTTTTAAGGTTCTAATTTGTGAGTGAGACATTTTGCATCCATTTTATTTGAAACTTTACCTCGTTGTTACTTTAGCCAAGAATTTCACGAAAAACTAAGATTAAAAAATCACTTTCATTCGAACTGGCCCATAACAAAAGCAGCTTCTCAGTCGGTGTGGAGAAAATAAATATGAATCTAAAAATGAATTTAAAATCAAAAACTATATTGGAGTATTTGGCTGATTCACGTCTTCATTCGGATACAAGCAGGCTTCCTTTTGGTAATTTAATTATTTTGTGATTTACCAATAATAGGCACTAATTCCCAGCTTTTGTTTCAATGATCTTAAACTCACTCATTGCCAGTATCAAAAAAGCTCAAAAGATTTACATAAACGCAGTCGTTTTTATCAAAAGTGCTCAAAAGATTTGCATCAAAAGTAGACATTTTCATCAAAGTTTTATAGGCTTTAAAAATGCGTAAAAGCATTTGCATAAAAAGCAGACACTTTCATCAAAAATTTATAAAAAGACGCATAAATTTTTTTGAAAATTTGATAGTCGAAAGGATTTAGTACTTGGGCGATTGACTAAACGGGTCTCCAAATAAATAAAACATAGCAAATGCTTGTTTTTCAATTAATTGCAAGAGTTTTTTTAATCAAAATTTTATCGGGCGAAACTTTTAGTCTAAAATATATTTATTTAAACGTTTAAGGGACTGAGTTTACAACAATTTAGTGATTGCAAATACAGTCACCTGCCAAAAATTGTTTTTTTTTTACTTTTCAAGCATGAAATGAACGAAAGTTGTTTCTCGTCTGAACAGTTTTTCTAGAACTACCAGAGTTATGCGATTGAAATTTTGACATATAAGTAACGAAACATTTTTTTGAAGACTATAGCCGTATAAATCGCAGTGAAAATGCTTTTAAGGCGTCGTATGGTCATTTAATCAGATGTAGAGAGGCGTTCTTAATGCCAAAAAGTCTCCGTAAACAATAGATGCAGTTTGAAACTTTGGACTTAACAGTATTCTCTAAAAAGCTAAGGAATTGAAATAGTCCCTCATATAGAAAATTGAACTGAACACTTGGTTTAGCTTTCAGTCAGAATTTGTTAATCAGAATAATCAGCAATTTGTTCAGTAAAATACCAAAATCTGAGTCAACTTTTATTTCATAGCTGAGCTGTATTTTTTGTATTCCTTTTTAAGTATAGAGAACTTATTTGAGGACCTGGCTTGTATTCGTAGCTTTCCAACAAATACTTTCAAAACCAAAGTTTCATAACCTCTTGGTAAATGGCCAGACTACAACGCCTGCTTACAAACACTTTTTGTTCCGACTTTCGATACGAAAGAAACGGAATATTTGTGCTCGGGGAATTTTTTGATTCGTGGGGAATTATCCCGGGCAACAAAACTGTTCCAAATTGAATTGAGGGTAGATAATTGGTCGTATTTATTTCGTACGACTCAAAATTTTACACTTTGATATTGTCCAAAGTGCATAGGTTTTGAGTATTTTCGTTTCCCAAAAACTGTTCGCATGAAGTAAGGGACAGTCAGAACCTTCAGGGCTTTGCCCTGATATACGAGCATTCTTGTTTCTTCCGACTTTCGTAACGAATGGTTTTTTTTCTTCAGACAAATTTCGACTTTTTAACTAGCCATTTTTGACGGAATTTTTTTATATCATTCAAAAGGTATTGTTGTCCTGAGCTTAAATTTGAAAAGATATTTCACCTGCGATCGTTTTTCGTAAAGTTATGGGGGTTTAAAGATTGCCATTCTAGCTAACTTGGGACAATTAACGCGCGATATATTTTGCACTATTATATCTGCACTATTATAACTTGCAACGAATGATTTCAAAAAAAATTCAAATTTTAGAAATTTTTTTTTCATTTTATTTAAATACATTTAATGTTTTTATGATATTACTGCTCCATAAAGCTTAAAAGGCAGTCGAAACTTTCAGGGCTTCGCCCTGATACGAGCAGTCTTGTTTAAGTTTTTATATACGGTTTAGTGCTAAAACAGTTTCACCCATTATATGTTAAACTTTCATCCGCGAATCTCTTGTAGTCTTCGAGAAAACGGCACAAACGTGAAAGTCTTAGCTGATATCAACGCGTTGTTGTTCCGACTTTCGATACGAAAGTAACGGAATATTTGTGCTCGGGGTAGGTTTTTTTTTCTTCAGACAAATTTCGACTTTTTAACTAGCCATTTTTGACGGAATTTTTTTTATATCATTCGAAAGGTATTGTTGTCCTGAGCTCAAATTTGAAAAGATATTTCACCTGTGATCATTTTTCGTAAAGTTACGGTGGTTTAAAGATTGCCATTTTGGCCAATTTGGTGATCATTTTTCGTAAAGCTATGTGGGTTTACAGATTGCCATTTTGGCCAATTTAGGACAATTAACGCGCGATATATCTCGCGCTATTAACGCGTAAGCGGAGATTTAATCCGTCTTATAAATCGTTCCAAATTGGTTGAACGAAGCTTATTCGCCAAAATTGATTTGTTGCAAGTAGCAAAATCTATCCTTTTGTACTTTATATGGCGTGTCGGGGATGATTTCGTTTCATTTTGTTTTATTACTTTTAATTTTTTAATGTTCTTACTGCTCCATAAACCTTAACAGGCAGTCGGAACATTCAGGGCTTCGTCCTGATACGAGCAGTTTTGTTTTCTTTGCTCATTCTCTTTTTCCCAGATAGCCGAAATCAATTTTGTTCCCTGATAGCCAAAAAAAAAATCGATTCGCGTTAAGTCGAAAAATCAATCGCTGAAAAAAAGTAAATTCTATTTAATATATAATAAAGAAAGGCTTTTTCATTATAGCCGCTACCTCCAAATAAATTATAGACACAAAATAGAAAAAAATTAAGAAGGGAAGGGAATAGTTTATAAAATCGAGAATGCTATAGGCCTGTTTTTATTGGAAAGACTGAAACTGACTGTAGACGTAGAGATCTTATTTTGGACATAACTTTCGGCAACAGAGACAATTATTTCAAAAATTTAGACAATAAATCGACATTTTTACATTTTAACAGCGCGTGCTCCCCCCGTTTATCTTCAACTTGCTCTTATTTGAAGATTCGCTGGACAGCCGAAAAAATGGTTCTTTCCAGAAAGCTGAAAAAACTAATTATCAGATACTTGAAGAAAAATTTTTGTTCCCGGCTTAAGCTCACTAAAAATATGTTCCCAGTAAGCTGAAAAAATTGCAGTATTAGTATTCGCACGTTTATTCTATCTAAATCGTTGGAAACTATTACTCGACAAAAAAAAATGACTTTTTTGGATTTTTGGTGAACTTGAAATCGAAAAAATGGTAAAATAGTTAATCCGTCCAGAAAATCCCATAGTTTTACAAAAACTGATCTCAGTTGAAACAATTGCGTTCAATAAGTCACAAGATTAAATGAAAGTGAGCTTCTTATGTAGCCTAACAGAGGTAAACTTTTCAAACTGTATCAATAAGAGAAAATTGGTTGCCTCAGTTCAAATTGCAACAATTTAACTCGGCACTTGCGCTTTCATAGAACACCAAGAAACCAATAAACAAGAAACCAATAAAAAAATGTTCATATAAATTTGTATTCAAGCTTGCGCCCTACAAAATTGTATTAAACATTATAGTTTAACGTTATAAGAGCAGCAACTTGAGCAGCGACACTGAAGGCTATCCAGGCTGCTGAAAATGTCGCAAGCGATTTTTTAATTTTTGAGAAAGATATTGTTTCGGTATCGAAACACTGGCCTCTCGATTGAGAGATCGAGCCTCAAATGCCTCAAAACCGCTACCCTAACACAAAAATAAATCGAAAGAGAGTCACGAAATTACCTTTCGTAGGTTCATCAGCTTGCGAACTCGTTCATCCATTACGACATTTGAGCTCTTCGACTTTTGTTTCGACACTCCTGGGTTTGGCCCTTGAGTCCCCCCTCCCCCACTCTGCAGAACAATTTTCTTATTTTTGGACCACACGGCGGCGGCTCCTGTTGCTGATGAAATGTGACCAGACGCTTCCGCTTGATTTTCAATTGGGCCGCTGCCACTGAGCTTTGGTTGGTTGTTTGTGCAGTTGCTACTGAGACGCGCAGTGTCGACAGAATACGGACAGATCGGCTGGCCCGTTTGGCGGATGTTTTTCTCTCGCTTCTGGATGATTCGCAAAATTGCCGTGTAGAGAACTGTGGACACGAGTACAGGAACTAAGTAGAAGAGGACGAAACTCGAGTAGAATGAGACGAACTGTCTGTTCACGTGTACGTCCATTGTGTCTGCAAACAACACTAATCAGAAAAAGTCGAGGAAAGACGAAGCAACGAAACACGGATAGCTACACCCTTTGAAATTTGCCAGAAGACCCAAAAGCATTTGAAACCCTATAAAAACATCGAAAAGTTTTTCAGCAAATATCAAGTTTTGTAACAGCCATTATAACGTTTTTCAATGTGTTTAAATTATAAAAAAAATGTTTTGTCCTTTTTTGGTTAGCTTCATTGTCTGCTATTCAAAAATATTCCATAGAGAGTTTATTGGAGAGTTTTTGAAGTAAATAGCAAAGGCAGATAACCATTGTTTTGTTTTGATTTCGACAATTAGGAGGTATTGTCATTGCTCTATTATATTTCAGTAACCAAACAGCCCTCAAAAAACTAAAGCCCGTGTCATGATATCGCAACTACCAAGTATTCCAATTATAGTTTTTTTTTCTACGCCTGATATAAAAGCCTACACTACCCCATCTTTATAGGGCACGTCCTTATTTGACTTTCAGGGTATTGTGGCATGGAATATATTGCCCTGCCACTAGTTTATGATTTAGAATAATTTATTTGAGAGCAAATTTCCAATATTTAAAAAAATACATTGATGAAGGACTGGAAATGAAACGGCAGTAAAACCAGCGGAAAGATAAAAGCTACGAAGAAATTCAAGAAACAGCTGGCATAAAAATATTTTAGAAAAATCTACGTTGCAAAATTAGACAATCATAGCTTAAAAAACACAAAGAAATGCAGCAGAATTAGAAAGGAAAATCTTTTTTTTGTAAATCAGTCTACTACTGAACTACTTCTCTAAAAAATTTTTAATGCTAGCCGTGCCTGTGTTGAAGTACCTAAGTCTGATGTACCCTAGTGAAAGCTATTTCAATCGCTTTTTAAAGTGAAATTGTGTCTCTTAACCTTAAACTGCGATATCTCGGGCATTTCTTATTCAGTAGGAAACCAGAGCTGTGACTTCAAGTATCATATTGTTATTGATCCGTTTTTCGAAGAAAGTGACGGGATATTTGTGATCGGGGTTGTTTTTTTCTCCACGCCAGTTTTGGGTTTTTTCACAAGATTTGTTGACGGTATTTTTTAAATCTTAGATCTCCTGCGATCACTTTTGAAATTATTGTTCTAACTTTCGAAGAAAAAAAATTATGCTTGGGATGGTTTTTTTATTCACGAGGGGTTTCATAACTTTAGCGCGAGGGGTTTCATTACTTTATGAACGTTAAAGAGCAGTCGGTGCATCGCCCTTATATAAAAAATCTTTTTGTCTCTAGTATTTCTCAAATGAGTGTCAACTTTAAAACGTTATCCAGTGTTCTTATTTTCTAATTCCTTGAGCATATGTCGCGTAACGGCAACGGAGCTGTTAGCCTTCCTTTAATTTGTGCGATAATTACTTTTTGGAACGCTCGGCAGTTCGCTCAATCATTGGCTAAAATTACTCAAGTAAAAGGGTCGTTACCAGGTGTAAAAGATGCCATCACATCAGGTTAAGAACTGTTAATTAGCATAAAGTAACAAAAATAGTTAAATAAGATAGATGAAAGTCGTTCCACTCGAAGACCACTCGAAAATTGGAAAAGAACTTTGGATTCGGGGCGTTGTTTTTCCAGCCAGTTTTGGCTACCAGTACGAAGCCAAACTGTGCACTGGATAGGCGCACAATTTGGTGTTTTATGTCTCTGGAACCCAGATTTAAGCTTTTACACAAGTTAAAATTCTGTAGGAACGACAAAGAAATCCGCACTGACAAAAATGGTTTCAAATTTATTTAAATTGATTTTCAATTGATTTTAAATTGATCCAAATCGATTAACAAAGTACATTTTACGAGCTGAAAGAGATATTTGGTCGGTTTAAATTGTTATTTTCTGAAAGTTATGGATCAATTTAAGCGTCTGAAAAATCGAGTGAAACCAATTTGAATGAACTTTTTGGCTCACTAAAATCCATCAGAATCTCACAAAGGTCAATTTTTATCCTTTTAAAAATACCCATGACCAGATCAATTTTAGAGTCTATAAATTGGTTTAAAATCAAGAAAATGGTCGATATAAATCAAATTTTGAGCTAAAAAACATGCAATTAAATTGTACAAAATTATAAACGTAAAAAAGATTTGAGCAAAACTCTTTGCAATGAGTCTTTTTACTAGACTACCAGACGCTATATATGTAAAATTAAAAATGATTGAGAGTGAATGAATGCAACCCAAATGCAAAACTGATGAAATCGAAAAGTTCGGAAAAAAATCTATTTAAATCGGTTTAAATCCCTTTCAATTCCCTAAAAAACAACCTTAATTTAATCTACATACACTGCTACACAAAAATATATCGTAATCCTTTTTTGTCAGTGAGGGAAACGAAAGAACAAAAGAAGAACAAAGAGAGCGTCCTTGTTGCGGAATCCGCTGTCAATTTAAAAAAATACACAGTTTGGCCTCGTAAAGGCTTAAAACAAAGCATGTAGGGATCAAGTATGGTGCCATAGAAAAAGCTTTTTGATTGCAAACCGAATTTAACAAAAGAAATCTCTATTCCTATCGGCTGCATTTAAAACGTTGTTTTTGCTAACTAACCATTTTTTTCCTCGTTGTGTTTTTTTCTAATATAGTCACCCTTTGGCTGTAAATTTAATATGAAGATGAAAAAAAAAAGAAATTGAAAAAAATCGACACCTCTAATTCAGTTTCATTTGAAATCTTTTCTGTAATTTTGAACTTTTTCGTGAATTATCGTAATATCCGAGCATTTTCTAGTGGTTATCTTTGTTGAAGTTGATTTTGTCTGAAAATTAGCCAGCAAGAGGCCGTAATTACTTTAGGCTCTATCGAGAGTAACTGCAACAGAAATCATGATTAGTGGCAATTGGGACGAAAACTTTAGTAGGCGGAAATTACATGAAATTGGAAGCAATGATTGCATGTTAAAACAGAGAAGGGTGAAACTCATAAAATCAATGATCATAATAAAATCATAGCAAACTTGCAAAATTTTTGGAAATTTTCGGACCCATTTATTTGGATTTTTTTTTTCATATTCTCCAAAACTTTAAATCTGAGATTGATGATTCAATCAAAAGAACGTGTTTTGTGGATCTTCACCGCTTAAGCTGCTGCGGCCTAATTTTTTGGCTCTAAAACACAGAAACCTGAAAAAAATGAGACAAATTTTGATTGCCAAAAAAATGAGCAGTTTCATGTTACTTAACATCATTCAACCCAGTTAAGTTTAAAAAATGACTCAAGCGTTGGTTTGTCTGTATGTGTATGGTTGTGTGCTTCAGAAATAGTTCGTTCAACTATTATTCCGATTGAATCAAACCAGCTGATTTTTTATTTCGTTGTAGGCACCAGATGATCTACGTAAAACTCAAACCGGTCTATTGCTTAAAGAATGAAAAATCATGCAAAATTACAAATTTTTGTGGTTCTAAGGTCCCTTTGCAGCTTGGTGGTTAGATATACCCACGTAACCTTAAGGGAAATTTTTTTTCTCCTTAATTTCTTGAATTAGGATCCCTTGAAAATCGACAAAACTCAAACTTTATAAATTTTTGAGTTTAATAGGATTGTGAAAATTTGAGAGGTCGTTAATTTTTGATATACTTTTAATTATTTTTGAGAGATACTATCAGTATTCGTTAGTAGGTAAAATTTTCACAAACGCTTAACCGTTACGTTACTTCTTTATAGGGGTGGCGATTCGCTAGTATGTACCACAGGGGCAAAAGAAGGAAATAATTTTTTTCTTGTTGCGTTTTTGATGTTTTTAAAATATCGATCAAAGGAGCCCCAAATCATTCTTATTCAATTTTTACTGTGAGCATCAATTAGTTCGAGTTGTTATTTTGTGCTGCTTGGAAACCTCCAAATTTTAATGCTACAGCAGTTTTATCAGGCAACTTATTGTTAAATTTTCCAACGTACACAGCAAAACTTTGGAGGAAAAAATCTCGAAAAAACTGCACAAAAAAATAGCGGCTATTTTTTTTAAAACTTTCGTAATTCAGCGAAACAGTACCTAACGTTAAAATTCTTCCATTTTTTGAAAAAATAACACACTTAAACAAATTGAACAGATTGTTCGTATCAAGGCCAAGCCTTGAATGTTTCGAGTGCCTTTTAAGGTCTATGGAGCAGTAATAACATGAAAAAATGAATGTAATAAATATAAAAATGAATTTTTTTCTAATTTGGGAATTTTGTGATAAATATCCACTCACACGCCATATAATGCACAAAGTGATAAACTCCGCTCCTACTAGCAAACCGATTATGGCAAATAAGCTTCCTTCAACCAATTTGTAACGATTTCTATGACGGATTAAATCTCCGCTTACGCGTTAAAAGCGATAAATCTATCGCGAGTTAATTGTCCCCAAATAGCCAAAATGGCGACCTTTAAAACCCCATAACTTCACAGGTATAACTTCACACAAAAAAATCACAGGTCAAATATCTTTCAAATTCAAGCTCAGGACAACCATAATTTTTGATTGATATAACAAATTCCGTCAAAAATGGCTAGTTAAAAAGTCGAAACTTGTCTGAAAGAAAAAACCATCTCGAGCACACACAAGTCGGAACAAACAAGTGTGCTCGTATATCAGGGCAAAGCCCTGAAGGTTCCGACTGTCCCTAACTTCATACGAACAGTTTTTGGAAAAGAAAATACTGAAAACCTATGCATTTTGGACAATATCTAAGTGTAAAATTTTGAGTCGCACGAAATGAATACGACCAATT